GCACAGATTCATTGATCAGAATTCAGGCCCTGAGGCGCTCAAAACAAATTCAATATGTTATGTTTACAGAACTTATGTGTTTCGGTGCAGCTCAAACAATGAGACCTTACGATCGCTATCTGTTGTACATTCACACCAACCTACTCTCATCCGAAAATATTATATACTTAGAAAGATGAGTTTGAATGCGTCTTAAAATGCATTCCGAATGAGAAACCAATATGCAGCCCACCCTAGTCGACCCACGGCAATTTCTGTCATTCAGTCAACAAATGAAAGTACTCAATAAACCAAATATACCTTTGAAATAGAAGAATAAAAGAGCAGATAAACAGAGAACAAAGGCTTTCAAGCAAAAAAAGCGTGAGAACAGTCGGTATTCTTGTAATCTTACTGTTCACTTCTAAAATATAATACAATGAGAGCAAGGGATTTGTGATGTGGTTGCAAGTCCAGAACTACCAGTGACGAGTAGGGTGTGGACTAATTATTTAATGTGGTATGAAAGTGAGTGGAACCCAATACGCAAAGCAAGTCCGCAAACGGGAGGCGAATGATAGAAGGATTCAATTTCAGTTTCGCAACAGCCTGGAAAATATAAAAATAATGTAATTATAGCAACGAGAGCGATAGAACAGAGCCCCGATGCTAATGGTACACAAAGCTGAGCGGTACTAAGATCAAAAATTCGCAACTTGGCCACACGACAGTATGGAAAATCAGTAAATGCGAACAATAATTCGGGGAAGGAGATCAAAAAACCTACTCGAGGTGCGTGAATTTTTTCTCTGGGGGGTTTCATACTAATAACTGTTAACTCGATCCTGCGTCCGCCAGGTGATTTGGAAAACATTTCGAGAAATACGGCAAGTACCAGACCCTGCGGCTCTCACTCTGCAGTGCGACTCGCGTCGCAACGGAGGTTTAGGATCAACAATCGAAGGATACCCGGCCTCGTTTTGCTAAGCCCAGCAGCGTTCAATCTGTTCTGACACATTTCTAGTCTGATCTAGAGTCTAATCTCCATACTTCTTCTTAGAGCATGTTTGTACTTGCAAGTGCAATTGTACTTGCTCAGGTTTCCTACTCTTGCTTGCTTGTACTTCTAGTGACTACTTGACTACTGTGACTTTCAATGCGGCACTTGCGCTTTGCGCTTGGGAATTGTAAATAAGTAAAGTTCAATCCACGCAGGGAGAGTCGACCTCCGCTCATTTCAGACATGCTCACCAGGGAAGGATGGGAGCTCGAAGCGGCGGTTTGCAATGTACATACCCACTAATGCACCTCCAAACGCTGATTCCAAATATGCCTTCCAGACCTGCTAAACGACGCGAACAAAACTACGAAGGTTTTTTCTCCCTAAATGGTGTGATGGTCTAACGGTTGAAGACGTCGATTCGCTGGTTAGACTCTGGGAGATCCGATCCATTCGCTCAGTTTCCTTTGCTTCTTTCCATAGCACGTTAAAGAAGCGAGATTGTTGCCTTTTGATGATTCCTTTTAAACACTCTATCTTGGGCATTGTGGCATTCTAGCGTACGTTCACGCCGAGGAGACGTGAACATAGCCTTCAGGAAGTCAAACTACCCCTTGACTCAAATTTCAAGCCAAATCGAAAATTTGAGTCCTACATCGAGAAAGTAGGTATCCATGGGTAACACAGGAAGTCTAGTAGCTGGTGCCTTCGACAGCACCCACGAGTACAACTTTTGTGGGCAAGAAGATTCTGATCGTTGAAACTCCATAATAGAGACAGTAGAAGGTTCCCACTTGGGAATAAGCTTCATTATCTGCGCCGCCGCGATGCCAGAACCTCTTTCCTGACATTGACCGCTGCCCAAGACTACCGCCCGTTACAGTACTTTTTCGAATGCCTGCTTTTTCACTTGCCCTAGCAATATGTTCCCATATGTAGTTAGAGCTCCTAAGCACTAGTTGGACATGAAGACGTGTACTGCGTGCGTTCCCAAGCGCAAGTTGTTGAGTTCTCTTTGCGGCCACTCACTCCTGCAACGGTTGCACTAGAGAGGGAGTATACGGACATCTCATATCAAATGATTATGGAACTCGTTCTCAACATACCATTCTATCACGTCCTCCTAGATCTGCTAAATTAGTTAAAACGTGTTGAGCATATAGTCTGAAAAGGTACAAAAGACCAACGCCATCAAGGGATTTCCCAAGAACCTTTGTTTTTGCGAGTGTACGAGGCCGGCAGTAGCCAAGCACGGAGGCCACGCTATCTCACACCACAAACTATGCATGCGTATTTGAAATCATGCTGACGGTGAGCTGAGTGCTGCGTCGCGTATCACAAGAAAAAGTTCCGCAATTTTCGAGAACCTTTCGCGTGATACGCATCATTTTCAAATGGCCACCTCGACCTACCATCTTTCCCTGATAAGCAAACGATAGACGTTGCTTCTGCGCATTTTAAAAAATTCCCCTATTCCATGACATCTGGAGATCAGAGAAATGGATGCAGGATAGTGAAATGGTTACCGTAGACGTAATGCATCATTAGTAAGAGGAGGGTCGAGGTCGAGTAAGATGAGGTCTAAAAAGCATAATGAAGCTTCGAGAGTTTGGAGATCAGGAAAAATTGCAAAGACTAACTAATGGCTCAATTATCAGTGATGATCTGGGTGCCCAATGTGGTGCGGTGGTGTGTGGTGGTAGAGATAAAATAATAAATTTCAAGTTGATAAACAATATGTTCTTTACTAGTGACGATATTTTCGAAAGGTCTACCAGTGAGGTAAAAGTATGAAAAAGTTGCAATAGTGCACGCACAAACGAAAGCACTTGCTAACTATGTGACCTAGTCGAGAACAAGGAGTGATGAGATCGCCACTCCCCAAACTCCAGTTCTAGAGATGATCAATCGTGGACTATGGGAAAGGGCCTTGTATGAAAAGATTGCAGATTGAGCCAGGCACCATTTTTGTCTTTCCTGAAAAACGTGCTCAAAGTTTTACTCCATCCCAGTACCAGCATTTTGTAATGGATTCATGGATTAGTGAGTAAGTGACTGCCCAAATTTTCGAGGTTAGGTCGAAATTAGAATTGGCTAGAAGTTTGCCCAAAGGGAGAGTCTGACTCCCTGATTACGAATATCACACTTGTTGCAAAAATGCCTGGCGCCTGCGCTACATGGCCCAAAGTATTCAGAGCACACGCCGCCCAAATTCGTTATTACATGCACTTCAATTCTTTGTGCTGGAAGCATACGTGAGCACGCCGGATTAACGAGGAATGTTCCTGGTTATGTTGCTGTAAATGGCGAAATGGTGAGCTCTCCGAGAAGTTAGTTCCACGACTTCACATGTGGAATCAGGACCACTGCTGCTGCGCTCTTCTGTTTCACAATTCTTTTCAGAGAAGTGGTTAGCAGGTAAGAAAGGTAAATTTGAGCTCAGCGTTCCAAGACGCGTATAGAGGTTTGATTTCATCTACAGAAGGAGCTCAATCTCCATTTTAATTCTGCATTGTGGGCAATAAGTATTTACCCATCTCATCTGAATTGGCCGGGTTGGCCAAATGACCTTTCCTGAGTTGTTAATCTTTTGCGACCTTTTGACATTCCGCTCATTTTCGTGCACCTAGTGCATTCTAAGAAACGCTTGTTTCCTTTTTGTTCCTTTATTGTTGTAGAACCCAGTTATGAGTCGTTTTGTAAAGGCCGCTCACTTGGCCCATCTTATGTAGACATGTTTCGAATAATCCAATCCGCTGTTGAGTTTTAAGCCCACTCTTTCAGAGCCTTCAAGAATCGAAGAAGGAACTTGTTCTTTTCATACTCCCAATTTTGGCGGTTCATAACCAACCAGAAGGGGATTTTTCTGTCGCTTACTTTGTGCATGCCTTGTACGTCATGTCTATGTTCTACTCATGCCGAACATGATCCTGATTCTTGAGGCACTATCGAAAGTCGTATCAGACAGACAAATAGACAAGCAAACGGACAACATAGGATTTATGGATTGCAATAGGACATTTTTTAATCTTCTTCACATCTATAGATGACACAAACCTTCTGTTGATCAGCATAACTGCTGAGAAGCATGCTGTGGTACTGCTTAGCCATGCTGTCCACAGTACAAGGAGAACCACAATTGGGAATCGTCAACGGATACGGTGCTCTTGTGGTATCGTTCCGGAAGAGAAACTAAAGCGAACACATTGGCCAATTTTGACATCCTCCTCCCATAAGTTATATTGCAGAACGAAGGGCAGTCACGTTTTTGAAAGCTTACCTCAACTTGGTATTCGTTGCCTTCCTTGAATATCTCCATGATGACTGCTGAAGCGTATGGTATCATAAGATTGTTTCCCACTCCCATTGCGTACATAAGACCGAGTAACGTGCCGTCGTGCTAGAAATAGATTTAAGCAATGGGAGATGAGGTTTTTGAAGGCCCTCGAGAGCAGGGCATGTGTATTAGAAACACTTTTTCCGATTTCATCATTGCATTACGATCACGCTTGATGTAGGAACACTTTTCCTATTTAATCAATTATTTTCATTACTTATCACTTTTTTATTATTTACACAATAAACATAAATATCCTACTATTTTTCAACCCATCTTTTTCTATTTATTTTTATTTTTTTCTTCTTAAAACTACATAAAATTATAATCATCAATCAACCATAACATAATTCTGATACTTCTCATCTATCAATCCATCACTGGAACCTCTTTAGGAGTTCCCACACTGACTAGTAACTTCGCGGCACGCTATACTCATACTGAACTACGGAATGGAACATACGTTACCACGAATCAAAGAGGAATGTTTTCAAAACACTCAAACTACGGAACTGCGAATCCCTCAGCATCTGCAGCAGGAAAGAAGGTAGCCAAGAGAAGTAGTTTAATCAACTGGGTTAAAAAATAACCACCACTTGCTTGTGCACATCGCCAAAATGAACTGTATTCGTTTAGACCTCAAATAGAAGATTAGCAGCACGACCAAAAGCATACAATTATCATAAGCTCCAATACGAAATTTACCAAAGACTATATTGAACAGACCCCCTTACCATATAGTAGCGACTTTAATTAAGAAATCAAGAGTCACACAGTATCTAAGAATGGAAAAACGTGCATATGGGCAAGGAGTTAGTTACTGAAGCATGAGCAAACTTCAAAAATAAAAACGGATAGAACGAGGCCCGCTAAAAAAAAAAAAAAAAAAAAAAAAAATCACATAAATGACGAACAGACTTTAGTTAATAGATTGGGAAATGCCTAGAACAAGGCAAATCACTCACGTTCCATTCCAGCTATCACGTCGAAATCATTCGGAAACTTACAGCAACAAAAAGGAGTTGGAGTCAAATTATACAAACTTATGTAAATCATGGGTCGATTATTATCGATGAAATGAACAGTTTCGCTCCATGCACGCACCATTTGCAAACCACCAAATTCTGCTCGAAATTATTAGTGAACCTTGACGTATAATGAGGATTACATCCGCGGCGACTGCTAGTCCGCCGTGTGGTAATCAAATGTTTCCATATCCTGAGTCCGTAACTTAATTTTCGAAGCTGATCTAGGCGCAGTTCAACCAAAACAAAGCAGAAATACAAAAAAAAGCACAGCAGTGTGACATTTTGGTCAGCATTAGTACTGCCGTTTGAATAAAATCTTCCAAGCACGCCTGTCCAAAAAGCCAAAAAAATATGGCGCCACTTCACCGGTATCTTTCAGAAGGATCTGGCTATGAAGGGGACACCATATCGGGAAAAATCACCAATTAAACACCAGTCTCTCTATCTTGCATCCGGCCGATGTCGATCCGACAGCGTATGTAACGATCGCAGGCTATCCTAGATCGTCCGCCATCTATTACGACTATACTTATATGCTGTCGCTAAATTGGACCTCAGAGAGCCGCCAACGTCGCACCTTTAGCTTGCAGCGTTGTTCATCCTTCCACTCGCAGCGAGACTGCCACACTCCCTGCGCTCACATAATTCCCAAGAATGCCAGTAAAGCAGTGCCGGTCCGCTCGACCCACAACCCATGTAGTCAACGAAACTGAAACGTCAACTTAGTTGGGGGGGGGGCACGCGGCGGCGCGGCAGTCTGCTCACCTGGGCTCTCTCGAACGAGACAGTGTAAACTCGAACATTCCAGCTTTTCACGCATGTCAAGTGACTGCCCCCCCCCCCCCCCCCCTAGACTGGCTACACTCCCCCTGGCTCACGGATTTCCGAAGATGCCAGGTGAGCAGACTGCCGCGCCGCCGCGTGGCCCCCCCACCAACTTAACGTGTTGACTTACGCCCAAAAAAACTTTACACGATCTTGAAATAAGTTACAAAAAGCATCAAAGAGCAACAAACACCAAAGAATCGAAAATTGGAGGTTTGTGCGTGGAATCTGCGTCTTGTGTGCAACTGCAGAGCTCTGTTCACACTTCACGACCGGCGGACCTCTACTGCGCAAGCTTCACGTTTCCTTTCTTTTGCTGTTAAACCGGGATTTTTCTTGGAATAAGTAGTGTGCGCAGCTTCCTCAGTCATCGGACATTATCAAATCGTGATTTCTGCCAGCATGCCTCAAACAATTAGTGGAATGTTGTCGTCTGCGGGTGAAGAATGATGTATTCACTAGCGATCGTCAAATGGTCAATTTATGTTGAGGAGCAGGACCAACAGTGAGTCTAGAGTGTGAGTTTGCGAAACTTATTAATTGCATTATACTTGAAGATTATTCATATATAAGCCAATCTCAAATTTTATTGTTCGATTGTCCATGATAAGTACCGACTTAGCCGAGCGCAGAGCCACGGGGTCGGGCGGTGGGGGGGTGCGGAGGCGGGTGGCGCGGAATAGGCTAACGTTAGGTAATCGATGCCCTGACTACAACATTCAGTCAAGGTTTGAGTGCAACACGCCAGTTGCGTCAAATGGCGGCGATTTTTTGCACACATCAGTGTAACTTCTGATGTGGTTATTGTGTCCGATGACGAAATTAATTCGTTCCTGCAATAGCGTGCTGGACGGCATGTCATGTTCCCTTTGTACCCTCTCTCCTCGAACACCAGTGGCCTGATACTAACGCCATAGCGCTGGCGTTAGTAGTAGCATCAGGCAAAGAGAAAAATTTATGTACCGAGTGCTGAGCGCCTACTATTCTACAAGCTGTCTGTCGTGGATTAGTCACTTAGAGCGCTAACCATAAAGCCATCATCCTAAACGCATACTCAAACCTTCCTCATTTGTGCATCAGAATCGAGCCTTCAGGAGCGTTCGCATAAGCTTGCGTTTGACAGTTACAAATGCTTGAATGATGATAAATGTTCGCTGCAAAGCATGCCAGTGATACGCGCATGTCCTTCTCATTGGTTACATTCTCTAATCAAGATGCTGACATGACCTTTAGCTTATAATGGTGCGTTGGGGTAGTCATTGAACAGACATTATGGAAGCAGATCCATCATCGACTCATTCAGCGAGGGAAGTACGTCTTTTAAGAAATAAGCACCGATCGCTTAATAGGTCCCATTAGTCATTTCGATGAAGTCAATTTCTCAATTTCACGACGACGCGTTAGTCGAAACATAAGACTTAATCTCAAACAAGGAGCTGAGCCATATTTTAGCATGCATCAAAGTCCACAAAGACTTTTGCATGGTAGGAACAATGTCTGAATATATAGATTCGCACTAATTTTCGACCTTTTTTGCGATCTGTGTAAATAGAAAGACAATTGATGTCGGTGGAAGTATCCATAGAGCCGCGCTTATACTCAATCCATTCTCAATAGATCGGGAGTGGCACTTCGGGGGAAGAAGAATCCTTATTTTTTGATTTGCGGTAATGCCAGTATCCAAATCGTAACAAGCGGTTCTATAAGTACATACGAATCTGGATAATATTTCTTCAGTAGAAAAGTAGTTCTAACTTTAATCCAACGACTAGCTCGGTACACATACTGTGCGCCTACCTACGGCGAGGCTTAGAAATCTATCAAAAGGAGCAACTGACAACAAGATATACTCTAATATATTTTGAAGTTTAACAGTTGAAAGTCATTTGAATTTTGCACCAATTCACATGTGTGATTGGGGTACGTATAGATCTAGGAAGATTTTAATCATCTTAATGCTTCTAATTCTTAATTTTATGTGGATTTTTGCACTCACGACCAGATTCAAAAGGCTTCATGCGCTTCTCGTGTTTCAAAAAGCCCTTCTCACCTTTAGATGAATTTTTTATTTACATAGGCCGATTAAATTTGCCTTATCTTCAGACTTTTATGGATCGGAATATAACAAATTCCTCTAGGAATTCTGCTATCACGTCCTTGGTGGAGCTCCCATTCCGGAAGACAAGCAAAGGGAACTGTTTAACTTCTGCTCAAGGAATGCAGACACACTATCGTTTGAGAACCTTTTAACAGCTCTCGTTGGCCTTTGTCGTATAGAGAGCGTTCAGGAACGTAAGTGACCATAACTTTCCTTATGAGAGCAGTATATAATTACAATTATAGTATATAATTACAATTACAGGCGTATTTTATTTAGTTCTAGTCCTAGTTAGCCCAATGCCGCTCGCTGGTCCTCATGTTTTGTCAGTTTTTGCTTCCTACGTATGGGTACACATACATGAGAGTCTCTGCGCGTTTCGGTGTGCGTCATGGCAGGACATTTTTAGAGTAGATCATGAGACTATAGACATTCTCTCCCTCTCAGTGGTATACGGTCTCTCCTCCCAGTGTTAGATTTCCAGCTTAGAAGGTTTATGTTCCGAAATTTCTTTTTTCCCAAGGAATCTTCCTCAGATTAGTAGTTAAAAATGTTCTGCGACCATATAGCTTTTGAATTTAAACAGTGTTTTTGCAGATTTCATTGAGGAATGTAAGGAGTTTGCTTCATGGGGTTTAAGACCTCCTTTGCTCACCATACCAATGAGCGATTCGTACATATCATTTTATGAAGTGATGTCATACGTCACACACCGTGAGTTTATCCATTCACTCTATTCATTGCAAATTGTCCCTACTTACTTCCTCCTATGCACAGTGAAATTATTTTGCTCTTTTGCAGAAGTCAGATATTTGTTGTGTTGATGCAAGCGAATAGTGTATCACTTACAGCACCTTTATGTTGTATTTGTAGTGTCCGTAGAAGAAGTTATGGAGTTAGAAAAGGTCTTCGCAACAATCAGTGATCGCTCCGTTTGTAAACTATCGAAAGATCGATGGGACGCAGCCTTGTGCGGTTGTTTTCCAAAAAAGTTCTCTAATCAGTGAGTCATTCATCCCAAGGTTGACTTCTACAAATTCGACATGAACATTGGTTCATAGCTGTCTGATAATCTTTCAGATTATTTCGTGTTTTTGATGAGAATGGAGACAATCAGATCGATTTTCGTGAATTGGTATGTGGACTATCAGCCATGTGCCGCGGTCCTTTTCCAAGTCGGCTCTCTTGTAAGGAATCTTCGCTCTTGTCGCTTTTCTCTACTTCGCTTGCTACTATAAATTTGGGTTGCTTGATTTTACTCAAAATACAATATTTGCAGTCTTAGCGAAATTGTGGGATGAGGACTGCGATGCGAAACTTTCTGATTCCGAATTGGAGCAGATGTACGAAGATTTGCACGTGGTAGGTTTAAAACACCAGAATGAAATTGAGCGTGCACGAGCTATTGCCAATTGAATTTGCTCGGAAGTTTCATTGTTACGTTGTTTTTACGAAGAGAGGATTTTGTTTTCCAGCCCGTCAAAGATCGAACGGTGGCGAAAAGCGCTGGGGAAAAGGCTGCAGCGGTAGACTTTGCTACATGGGCGAACGAAAACGAGTACGCTAAAGAGCACTACGCAATGGCCATGGAAATTGGTCACATTTGCCTTGGCTTGCGCCCTGAGTCACATATTGTAGGATTAGCCCTTGTTAAGTAAGTTGAGACTTCTACATTATTAAAATGCGTTACATTGGTCGAGTTCTGTTTCGGTTCTGTTAACTCATCTCAAAGTCGTTTCTGACTAGAAAAAATCATAAGCTGGTGGAGGTCGTCTAGACCACGATCGTGTGTCACGTTGAACAACCTTAAGCAACAATTTTACCGATGTGCCTACACACTATTGTGAAAGGACACTGAGACACTCATTGTGAACGGTTTTCAGTTCTTTCGAGCAACGTTCAAAAGATTTACCTCTACCGGAATGGAATATTGTTTCTTCTATCTGGCATGCTGAATGGGCGAAAGCTGCGACGGAGGGAAAAGCACCCCCACCGGTGGATAATTCTTCCATCAAAGGCACAAAAGCGGACGACGGATGGAGTGGAAAGGTTCCGGTGACTTTTTTCTGCGTATTACTAGTATTTCGACGCCCAAATAAACTTTCTTATTTAATTAAATTCTGAAGTTATCACGAGTCTTTCCTTCAAACATGGTAATGATAAACCGTTTAAGGTGGCTTGTTTATCACTGGAATCGGCGAATCTTCGTGCGGATCTTACTGCGAAGGACTATATTGCTGTGCCTTCTGCCCTCTGGCGAGCATGGCTTCGCTGGCACGGGAGCGCTCAGTCTGTACGTTTTGTTTTCAAATGGGTTTGGAGGTGCCTGACTGTAGAGATCTCACATTACAAGAGTCGCCAGCACTGATAAAAAAAGTTTACAGCTACCACAAGCTATGAGGTGGAATGCACCCTTTTGACCGGGACTAGAAAGGATCTTTTGCTTTCTGTGCAGTGCGCTAATCTACATATTACTTCACATTGATCACGTGATGCCTTCATAGTGTTTTCAGTGGTTTATTCACAGTACCTTGTATGGCACTCACACTCAAGGCGTGGTGGGCCAATTAA